GGATTAGGGGTTCAGGGTTTGGGGTTTAGGGTTAGGGTCCTTTGACTTGCTTGAGAAGGCGGTGCAAGCGTTTGCCAAGCGCTTTCAGCACTTTATGGAATTCACAAGTTCACGCTCTGTGTAAACATTCTTACATTGCTCTCCAATGCCTGCAGGGCTGCAATATAGCCTGCTTCATAAGGCTTGTGCAAGGAAAGGTTTACAGTTTACAGGATCACAAGATACAGGGATGCGGTAAGCAGAGCTGACTGAAAATGCAATTGCGGCACAATAAAGGACAATCCCTCCGTGCACAGAGCGATGTCACGTAGACAACTCTCAGCACACATGAAACTAGGATTTCTCGGAATGGAACCACGAAGCTAGATTCTTGAGTTGCCTGGCTGCCCAAATATACAAGTGTGCCACGAGGACAACCCTGCCAGCATGGATGAAGCCGGGCGTCATATTCAAGAGGAATGATGGGACGCCGTTGCCCGTTGCAGCTAAAAGCGGCGGAACGATCGACATGGCGTCGGTGAGTCAGGGCAGCCTGCAACCTATCGCGCTTGACTTTGTAATACGCTGCAGCAAAGGGCAGCAGCTTTGGGGCGGGTCCTGCATGAAAGTCGGTCCTCCTTGCAATTTGGGAGTTTGGGGCCCTGATTTAAGTCTGCACCCTGAGCGTCACATGGGAGAAAGTGGAAAAGACCAGGACCTTTAAGGGGGCTTGACACCATTCATGCTTGGAGAACCTCAGTAAATCAAGTTACCAGGAAACAAGTGCTGATAGATCTCGTCAACAAAAGGTTCGAAAGCACGAACCCCAAAATGCTAAACACTTAAAAGCCCTGTTGTGCACTTCTGGGGCCACGGCTAAAAAGAAGTTCAGCAGCGTGAAGAACCTCACTGCATGGTGTGTAGTGTAGCGGCCTGAACATGTAGAACAGGGTGTCGGGTGACATTATGGTAGATCTATTACAAGGAACTAGGAAGAGAAGTGGCAATTATTCAGACCCTCATGATACGGTCCTGCGCGGCGTACCACGGCATCCTGCTTCTCATGATGCCTATTGCCACCGTTGGCACTATTGCGACAGTGACGACACTTCTGTGCGTTGCCAGATCTGACGCCAGGATGTATATAGCTACGAATGTGAGCATTTGTGGTAATGGCCGGTGAATTTGGAATTAAGGGTAGTGTTGGTTGGGTATGCTCCGTGCCCTCCACACTCCAGTGCAAGCTTTCAAGAGTGTGCTTCCGTGTTGAACACTGCAGAGGACGCAGGCATGATCTATACCACATTTCTGACGGGAATGCGCGACAACAAAAGCACCAATCATTCAAGAACCTCCAGTATCCAAGCATCCTTGCCGTTGCGAATCAAGGTCTAACCTTGTTGGGTTCAACCAGGTGCTGACAGCAACAAACAGGCCCCCAGCCCGGTTCCGGGCAGAATCCTGAAGAAATTTCTCTGTGCAAAACTCGACACCATACGTGTAGTCTCCATTGTAGTTCCTTTTTTTGGTTTAACCAATTATATATTGAGGATGTTATAAGGTATCCCCAAAAGGGAACTACAATGCAGACTACAGGCATACTCCTAAACGCCGAGCCGGAGCCCAAAGTCTAAAGTCCCAAAAGCCCAAGGGGCACGACCAGCATAAAGGATGCAGCATAGACCCAGTACATGGCGCTCATGCTTCCTGACACGCAGGGCTGGTGGACTGGAACCTCAGCCCCCAGCTTTCCCAAAAGGGTTTCGGGTTCAGGGTTTAGGGTTTAGGGAAGTCGGGTGGGCTGATGGATTGTGCCCTCTGACAGTCTTTGCTTTGAGTTGAGGAGCCCATGATCAAAGCTGAGGCACGGCAATCCAAACCCCACGAAATAAGTGCAACGACCGGGTGTTGAAATCGACACGAGCAAAGCCCTACACCCGAAATCGCCATGCAAGGCCATAAACTCTACGCAGCCCGAAGCCCTAAATCCTACATCCTCCCTGTTGCAAGCCCGTCTAAAGGAACCCTTAAATCCTGAAAGCTGTCCTGAGAGTTTCTCGGCACCATCAACGAAGATGAACCTCACCGGGTTCCGGGTTTTTAGGGGTCTGGCTAGTCCCGAACATCCTCGACATAAAGCTCAGAAGAGGATTCGCGAGAAACCCGTAGGGGAGGTTATTGTCAACTCTATGGGGTTCTGTGGGCCCCTACTTTGGGCCTTGCACAAGCTAGTGGTGAACTAGAGCTAAGAGCCTCAGCAAGCCTCCACGTTTCCAGGATTTGACTCTGGCAGTTCATGATCCAAGACTCAGAAGTGTACAAGCTGTGCGTGGTGCGTGTTTTACAGGTCTTCAGAGGGACTTCCACAAAACCGCTTTTTCTCCCCAAGCGCCGTCACTTGATGTAGCCCCAGATGCTTAAATTCAGGACACAAATTTAAATGACCACCCCCCAAACCTAACAGCCTGAACCCACGCTCGCCATTTTCCTACACTGGCCCATGGCAGGTCCAAAGTACGACTGTGATCCAGGCAATGATAGGGAAGCAATCTATGTCCTAGACTCCCTAGACCCTATAGTTTCAAGGTTCAGTGTACGAGTCTCAAGAATTTGCAACATGACTCCTGGATGCGGGTTATGCTGCTTTATTCTGCAATTCTGCGTACTTCCAGGCCATGAGGTCCCACTCCCAAGACGAGAAGCTCACCAAACAGCATTCGAACTTGCGTTGCACACGCGGCTGGGAAGGTGCCAAAAAGGTGCACCGTCCCACCTTGAATCACACAGGACCATATGTGTGGATGCCAACGATTTCATGCGTATGCCGAGAACACCACTGCTTCAGACGCAAACCCTCTCCTAGAAGCCGGGACACGCCCCAAAAAGCTTGCGACCCTAGGTTGGTAGGTTCATGATTTGCATGACTAGTTCAGCCTTAGGTATGGGATTCGAAGGATGTAGGCCACGAAGACTTTGAGGCCAAGTCTGCTTACCCTCTCGGCGATCATGACCCTTGCTACCGTTGCACACCACAGGCCATGTTTCTGTGGTCCGCATTTCCGATAGGCTTGCGACTGAATGTCGTCATCAGTATCATCGTAGCCACCCTCGCTGTCACCACTAGCGTCGTCATCATCATCATCATCATCATCATCACCATGGCCACCAATTTCCTGATCACGGGCACAATTATCCTCTTGAGCATCATAGGCATCTCCATCGTCATCGAAATGCGCACACATCTTTCGTGTTCCTCTTCCTCGCGATCCTCCTGTTCAGCCCGAGCATTGCATGATGTACAGCTATTGTCGATGTGCGGTTTTGGCCTCGGGAGGCTTCTCTTGAGCCAACCCTTAACTCTGTCTAAACACTACTCTCCAGACACTAGTCAATCTTTACAGGTACTCGTTTCTTTGTGGGCAACCCCACTCCCTAGGAGCCAAACTGTACCGAACTTGGTGGGTTCATCCAGCGAGGCCACCGAGCAGAAAATGGGCCATAAATGCCAACATCAGGAACCTTGTTCGAGGGTCTTCGAGTTCTCGCAGCTTCTGAGGGTTATGGGCTTAGGTGTTGAGTTCAGGGCTGTTCAATTTGGAGGTATCGAGTGAAGAGCAGCTAGGATCTTAGGCTTCGGGGGCTGCTCGGGGTACGGGGCTGCCTAGGGCAGCTGGGGCAGCTGGGGGTATGGGGCCGATGGGAGTCGCGATGAAACCACACGACAGCACAACCACATCGTTAAAAGGTTACGGGTTTCGGAACTCGCATGCTCAAGGTTCGGGGCTATGGCATGATGGGTTCCATATCTCTGGTCAGTGTTGCGTGTAGTTCGAGGGGCACTTCAACACGTTAACCCCTGAACGGCGGAATCAGTTAACAAAAATGAAGCTGAACCCCCAATCCCTTGATTGCGGTGCGAGATCCTCAACCTAAGAATCCCCGTGTGACATTCTGAATAGAAGCTCCGAAATCCACGTGGCCGATCATCAACTTGCAGAAGCATAAGCACCCCCCTCAAGCCCTAGAAGAGTTCTTCCCCCAGTTCCCCGAAAATCAAGCCAAAGTCTGGGCAGCAAAACCCTAAACCCTAAACCCTGAAAATCAAGCAAAGTCCGGGGAGCAGGATGGCAAAGACCACGAAGAAGTGCACCATGTTCCACAGGGCCTTCTTCACGGTGCGGGTGAGCCTCGGCTGCTGGCACCCCTCCGTCGTCTTTGGAGTATAGTACCTATACCCTCAAGCCCCTTCAATCTGCTGTGATAGTGCAGATAACAAATCAAATCATGGATATCACCCGACTTCTTGCTAGTAGAATATACTGACGCTCGCCGAATCACTATTAGATTCGGGCTTCGTGCGCAGGGCGGGTGTTAGTGTGTCCGGCAGCCACGGCCACCACCCGACCGAGGTCTCGAAAGCACTTCGCACAGACGACCATCACAATCAAACCGAGCTGGCTTCCATTAGCTCATTAGCCCTCAAAGCACGGAAGATAATGTTCTGTGCTTGGATGGCTAATGGAAGCCAGCTCGGATACCAGTCACGGCCTTTGCCAGACTCAGGTCCTGTGGCCAAGGATTATCGATGCCGAAGCACATTCGCTGTCCAACCCCACCGATGGCACGCGTTGCTCGTGCAGTTCCGGCCACACAGCAGTCGTAGTGCAAGGTGCGCCATCCCAGAACTTTCTAGGGCCTAGGGCCTAGGGTAGAACGCGCTGTGCACAATCCATTCGGAGAAGGTGCTGACCGAGCAACCGTACGTTGTAGATGTACTTCAAGGCAACGTAGTGGCTGCTGTGCCCCAACAGGCGCAAAGGCATGATGCCGGCAAGTCTTGGGTGTCACCCCGATACAGGCTCAGGCGCAACCCAGGGCAAGTTTGCACGACAGGAAAGGTGCCTTCGTCCTTGAGCATGGCCACAGGTCAACAGCAACCAAGCCCCGGTGTGAAAGTAATCTGACTCGAACCGAAGCCCCAAGGGCGTCAAACCGAAACCGCAAAGGCGTCCAGTGCTGCTGAAGAAGCCCTAACCGAAGGCACCCAGACCCAACCACCAAGCCACCCCGTTTAGGTGCAAAAGGCCCGAAGCTGATTTCGGAAGCGCCCTGAACCCATGTAGCCAAAACCCTCAACCCCAAAACCTCAAAAAATCTCAGCAACTCCCCAACAACTACCAGACTCAGATATCGGAAATCGGTAGCCCCCAACCCCTGAACCCTAAGCCCTGACAACCTAAACCTGCTCCATCCGAAGCACATGGCGACCCGCGGATGGGCGCTGAAGTACAGAACCGCCTGAACGACGTGATTGGTTTACGGTCAAGGATTCCGTACTAAAAACTGTACGGCTCAAGATCTATATCGTTTGCTAATAGGGCTTGTTCAATGCAGTGGAAGGTTTTTGAAAATGTAGGATTCCGGGTTGGGTTTAAGCACTCGGGTTTGCTTTGGAGCGTGCTTGAGGTCCCGGGAGAAGGATGAGGCTGATCCGGGACGCCTCCCCACTTAAGTCCGAAACCTCGAAACCCTCTTTTGGACGCCTTCTTGGCTGTTGTTTCCGACTGCCGTGCAGTTTGGTACGCCATCAGATGCTATCTTTCGGTCACAGCTCTCATTGCGGATGCATTTTCGGGTCCACCTATATGAGCAATTGCTCACGTTTTCTTGAGTGGCCACCAAATCCCATGTCTCGTGGTATGGCATGTTTCTTGCGAAGAGTCTCCCATCCGTACGTTTTAAAAATGACACCAATGCTGCAACCACTGGCACGACGATTGCTTCTAGATTTGACCAGGTTCAAGGTGCAGCCGGCTTAGGGCTTAGCCCCTTCGCGAAACGTACCAGCCGCCTGCAGAAACTGCACATAGAGCATGATGTAGGATGCCAGCCGATGTGTCTCCAGCCACTCGACCTCCTCGTATACTTCCTTCGTTCCACGGGCTCAGAAGCTCAGGATTGGGGGCTTGATGGTGGTAAGGTATAGACTTCCCGGCTTCGGGTCCAAGGGATTGGGGTTTGAGACTAATGGTCCGAGGCTTGCCACTGACACTCTGGACTTGCAGGGACAAGGATGACTTTGTAGAGAATGGAGAACAAAACGCAGGAATACTTGGCAGTAAACCCAAAAGCTGCAAACACAATCGATGGAACTATGGAGAAGCAACATCAGCAGAACATTCAGACTGATGTCACCGGTAAGGACTGTCAAGAGCGGCAGTAATCGCGGTGATGACGGAGGAGAGTTGAGTACTCTGGTGGAGAGAAGAAGATGATGATACTGGCAATTGCGGAGCGATTGCAAACCAATTTCAACATTTCAACGAAGATGGATTTGTGATTGTAATGGCCGATGGTGCAGTATCAAGGTAGAAGTGAAAAAGGAGAAGCGAGAACAACAGCAGCAAGCTTAAGCAACAGTGCCACCAACAGCAGCAATGGAATCAGTGCAGGAACGAGTATGACGAGAGTAGTACCAAGAGTACCCGTCAGAACAGCGCGCCCTTGTTATTCACTACTTGGCCTTGCGGCCATTAGCTTTAGTGATGCGTCCTCTAGGTACCTGAAGCCCTTCTCGCATCGTCATGTTGAGTCCCAAAATCAAGCTCTAAGGACGACAAGACTCTACGGAGCCCTTTTATAAACGACGCTGCACGTAGGTTGTGGGGTCTGTAGCTTCCGTGACTCCGTCTTCACCTCGAAGTATTTCGCCAGGCTTTTGGTCAAGTGCTCCTCGAGGATTTCGGGCTTTTTGCTCTAGGGTCGAGGGTGTAGGTTACAGTAGGGTTACTGTAGAGTTACTATACGGGCTTCAGCCTAGAAGAGCTTTCGAGTCATAGTCATCAGTGTCAATCGACGTGCACATGCGTGATTACATGTCGAAGCAGCGACGCAACATACACCTAATTAGCTACTGGGATGGCCGCTTGGCCTCAACAGACTAAAGCCTGCGCACAGCCTCAACCCGAAGTGCCCCTAGCCGCATGGCACACAAAAGTCTAATGTGGAACCAAGATTTGCAAGCACTTGGGTGCGGATTCAGGAGTCTTAGGTTGATAAGGTTTAAGACTGTTCGAGTGTTGGGTAGCTGGATGCGGTTTAAGGGGTCTTGGGTGCTCAACATTCTTAGACTACGTCCTCCTCATAGAGATTTGACTGAAAAGCGGCTGGAGTACACCGCTGGTGCTGGAGTGATTCGGCTTTGACGCAAAAAGCCGGACACGCTTGAACTAGGACTTGTGGATCCCAAACCCGAGCTCAGTGCTGCGTTAAGGGGTAGTGCATCGCAATCGCCCATGGAGTAGCCCCTAGACGAACCTGAAAGCAGCCTTTGATCGCAAGTGCATGGTAGGTCAGATAAGCTTACAGCTTATAGAAATTCAAAGGCCCAAGCTGAGGGGCTTCAGTAGCTTGGGGCTAAGACCTCAGGGTGTAGCAAGAACCTAGACTGAGGGTCGTAGGGTTCTTGCGGCTCAAGGTTGGGGGTTGCTGCGGAAGCCCTGAGTCCACAATGAAGGGGCCAAAAACCAACGCTTCCCTCCTCGTTCAAGCCGTGCGAGTTGAGGAAGGTCTGCAGGAGACTCTCAAACTCATGGGACATGTACGCCTCACGCGAGGCAGGATGTAGCCGAATTCCATGCTGCAAAGGCAGGAAGGCCCCGAGCTGCCATGAAGAGTTCTGCCGGTCGCTGGGATCTGAGAGCTCTCAACACGGGACAGCTGAGCTTTTGACTTTTAGGGTTTAGGGGTCTAGGGGTTTAGGGGTTAGGGTTTAGGGCCTTCCAGTAAAGCACCTTCGGGCTGAACTGTTAAACCCCAAACCCTGCCACGTACATGAAAGACCCTCGACCTGGAACCCTTATAAGCCAGAATCCCCCTTGTGGAAACACCCAAAACCCCAAAAACCCATGCAAGCCAAGCTGAAACCTGCACTTGCCACAACATGGTACGCTCTCCCAAGCTGAGTCAATGCAGATATCTACAGCATAAAAGGGCCTTCTTTTGTTGGGCAGACTTCTTCGACTCTTTCGGCCTGCCTGCTGTGTCCACGTCACGAGGAGGATCGACGGATAAACGAGAAATCTGAGATCCAGGTGTCACCGGGGTGTTGAGGTTCCGAGAACTCTGGAGGCTTGGAGTCCTGTTCTCTGGCTTCAGGCGTCCTTGGGCCTGCATGAAGAGTGTAAGGCTGTGAGGGTTTAGGATTTTTTGGGGTTTAGGGTGTAGGGTTTAGAAATACTATGTAGCTCTCGCTGCGACGTGGCACTCATCTTAGACCAATCTTCGGTGGTGCACCCGGGTTCAGCTGTCTCTCGCCTGTGGCATGGTGCATGTCTGGATCAAGAACAAGTCCGTGATGCCACCTGCCAAAGTTACAACTCCGCTTGGTGTGTCGTAGGACCGAAACCCTGAACCCTGGACCCTAAACTCCTAAACCCCTAAACCCTAAACCCCAAACCCAGGCTACCGTCCACGCGTCTGAAACAGTAGACACGAGTAGCTGAGCAGGCTCCCTATGCTTGAGCATTCGGGTGCGCATATTTACGGAGAAATCCCGGTTCGGATCCAAAAGGCTCCGAAAAAAAAAACCGAGTTCGAAGCAGAAAACCCTATAAAGCTCTTATAAACCCTATAAGGCTCTTATAAACCCTATAAAGCTCTCATAAACCCTCTAAAGCTCTGGAAGTTTTCGGTGCCCTCATGGCCAGCCAAGGGGGCAGAGCCCGGGAGAAGATCTCGAAGATTACGAGGCCCCAGCTGCAAGTCTCCTCGGATTTCGCTTGAGGCTTAGGGTTTCGGGTACAGGGCTTAGGGTTTAGGGTTTAGGGCTTCGGGACGACGGTTTAGGTCATGGGGCTGCCTGGGGGCGTAGGAATGGGTTGCGAGTAGGGGCTTTCACGCTAGGGCTTCGAGGTCAGCCGGGTTCAGGGTCTAGGGCCAGCGTTCTTTTGTGACATCTCTGTTGTGTCGCATCGACCAGGCTGTCGATTCTACCTAGACGTACCTTGGACGTGTGCAAATATCAGGATTTGAATAGGGTTCCGGACATAAGGCTGTACATCACAAAGGCAGAGTCGTGAAGCATCCCTACCACGAATGGAAACTGAAGCCTTACCCTGCATCTGCATCCTGATCACGGAAGGTACGGGGCTAGAATATTGCAGGCCCCTCAAGCCTCAACCCTGCTTTCCACAAGCCATGCAAATTTCTCGGTCTCGCTGCATTCACTCATCAACAAAACCTCCGTTACAACCACTCATAATCTCGCATGATGGCCCTTTTAGCTGTTCCTTAAGTACTAGGTTACGAGGCGGCCAGTGAGATGCGTATGCCAAAGAGGAGGCTAGGTTGAGGTGTGCCTACACCAAACCCCCCGAAGCTTAAACAAATCTGTCTGCCCAGCTGCAGGGTGCCGAATCAGATGCACCGTCAGAGACACGACGCTGAGAGATGCAGCGATGCAGGTCGTCAGCAGAAGGGCAAAGAAGCTGTCCTGGGCTGATCGGGCCCCAACTTGGTATGCAAAGACACGACCTGAAAGGGCAGTGCCCGGTTCCCCTCAAGGTTAGTCTCTACAAGGCCCCATCAGACCAAAACCTTCCAAATGCAGGCAGTTCCGGTTAAGGGCTGCTAAACGACCCTGCGCAACACCTAAACCGGCCCTAAACCCCTAAACCCCTAAACCCCTCAACCCCTAAACCAAGCTTTGAGAAACTCGAGATAAAGACCTCTTATCGATGGAACATGTTTAGGGTTTAGGGCTTAGGGGTCATAACTGGAAGGGTTGAGGGTCTATAGAGCAGATCGTAGAAGTGGTGAGGGTGATCCCATCGTTGCCACGAGAGCAGCAATAGCAACAGTAACCCATGCACCCCAGCTCAAAGACCAAGCTGATCCTCAAAGCCGTCGGGTGTCCGACGCCGAGTGCACCAGGTCTCGATAACTGATCATCCTTTGTGCGTTCGGACAGCTTGGAATGGAGGGGTCCTCACTATGGCGCATCTGCAAGTATCATAGGATACGTTGAAGGTTTCAATCACGTTTTGCATCCATGCAAGCAGGCATGCAAGCAGCATGTATACACATATACATATATATATATGATATACATACATATATATATACATATGAAATATATATATATATATATATATGTATATATATTTCACTGCAAAGATTACGGTTTACAGCGCCAGCCTACGAGAACTGTTTAAGAATGTCACTTCAGAAATGTTGTTGGTGAACTGTCCCAGGGCACCGATCAGCAGCCAAGAACAACCATTCCAAGTTCTTCCCTGAGGCACATTTGTAGACATACATGTGGGCATGTTTCGTTGCGTATGTATCATCCCAGTCTGTTACTTTCCCTTCCACAGACAACGGTTCAGGTCCAAGCCCGTGTCAAAGGCGTGAGCCGAGGGAGGTTCATTGAACGCCCTCGACTGGGCCACTGCCGATCACCCTAAAACACGCTATTTAATCTTCAAGTAGTGTGCCACGCGGAGGGCAAGGAGTTAGTGCAGATGGGTCTGTGTCGGAGAAGCCGCTCGCCAGAACTACAAAGTTATTATCAAATCCTATCAGGGCACCGAACCCAGGGATCTTTTCCGAAGGCCTCAATTTTCGATGATGTTCCAGCTAGTACATTGTAGCTCGGCCCGAAGAAACTTACGTCTTCAGAAGAAGCCGAAAGGCTGAAGCCAGATGTACGAACTTGGGGCTGGGACTTGCAAGCTCGAAGGTTCAGGATGCTTTTAACTCTTCTGATACTTGGTCTTTGGGGCCTCAAGTGATGCTTCTGGGTTTGGGTTGGGCTTCAGGTTTAGCAACCGGGAATCACCCTTGACCCAAGGCTCTCAAATCCTACACCTGTCAAACCTGGGCACCCACAAAAAAACCCTATCCTGATCTTCGTAACCCAGAAGCCATCGAAGTTTAACCTGTTGAAACCTAAACCCCTAAATCCCGAAACCCCACACCCTAAATCCCAACACTTGGACCTAGACCCTATAAGCTGTAACCGGAAAACCGGGCAGCCTCGAAGGGAAACCCTGATCCTAGATCCGTATGGGAACCTTTGTTACATTGTTGGTGACCCTTGTAGGGTTTAGGGTTTAGGGTTTAAGGTTTAGGGGTTTAGGGTTTAGGGGTTTAGGGGTTTAGGGTTTAGGGTTTAGGGTTTAGGAGTTTAGGGTTTAGACTTTAGGGTTTAGGGAGTAGCAACCCACCGAACCCATGCTTGAATTCGAAGGTAGTCTCTGCACGGAGCCCGCGATGTTGCCCGCGTAGTCGAAAGCAAACCTCCGCAGGCTCTTCTCGGAGAGGGTGTAGGGTGCAACAGTCAGATCTTATAGGAGTAGAATGTTTAGGTACCTATAGTCTCCATCGTAGTTCCTTTTTGGGGGTACCTTATAAGATCCTTAATATATAATGGGTTAAACCCAAAAAAGGAACTACAATGGAGACTACAGGTATACTACGTTGGGGTCTGAGGAACAGGATTAATATGCTTCTTTATTCGGGTTGTGAGCTCGAGTGATGCTTCGGGATTAGGCCGGAGTAAGGGCTACGGATATGGCTTCGGGATTTCGGCTTGGCGCGGTCTGCGGATTGTTTTTTTTTAAATATAAGCCAGCGCTGTATGGTATAGTAGAGTATAGTATAACATCATATCTCAAAACACAATGCAATATCATTCAATATTACAGAACATTTTGATGGTTTACGGCCGAAGGCTTGGATGCGTGGGGTATCGAGATTCGCAGGTTTAGGACTCAGGGTCCGAGGTTTGAGTAGAGAGCGTGTCTAACCGCATCCCAACAACAACCAAACGGGCGCTGAGTAGGCGTCTTGGGCTTCTTTTTTGCAACGGGTCTATGCTTGGAGCTTGGGGTTTGGGGTTTAGGGGTTTAGGGTTTAGGGGTTTAGGGTTTAGGTAGGCTGCAGTCTTTTGGGTTCAGGGCTGAAGAGAATGACAAGATTTTCGCAGGCTCCCAGAATCAACACCCTTCAACGAGCTGTTGAAGGATCCTTCTATAATGCTGATCGTCGCCTGGGCTTTATGTTTGTGGAGCTAGCCTGGCAATGAGTCGACTCATACTCATACAATACTTAGGCACTGCCAGAGAATAGCCCAAGTTCAAAAATGCGCTAAGCCTCGAGTTGCAACGGAGTGATGTGGACCTGAAACCTCCCAATAAGAGCCCGAAACAAGCTGCAGGCTGGAAAGGCACACGCTTTGGGATTAAAGGCCGCATCGGGTCCTTGACAACGAAAATGTTACCAGGAAGGCAGTAACGGGCCAAACCCCAATGCGCACCAAGTCTGCATATGGCTGTGGAGGTGCTTCCTGCAACAGTAGGCCTGCATAGAGCCACTTCAAATATCGAAGACGCCCTAGAATGACCCCAACTTAGACTAACCTCCAATCATGTTGGACTGTTAAACCGTTCCAAGATGCTCCACGGTGAGGGAGGTGAACATCTCTATATTCTCGGTGTAGATCATCGTGCCTGAGTTGGGTAGCATGCAATGAAGTGCCCGATCAACACCGGGCTGGCGTGTAGAATATACAAAAAGCACAGGCCACTGAAAAGGCACCAAAACACGCGATTTGAGTTTTGGGGAGGTTTGTGTGAAGAATTTCAAAAGTTCTTCAGTTCTTGTGTCGGTACATTCTGCCAGAAGCGACGGTTTTCTGGGCAGAGTTGCGACAGCCTGTCTTTCGGAAAAGGGAGCAGCTACAGAACGCTCTTTTGCTTCCGACTTTCTTGCTACTGTCTAGTGAGTCTAGTGTAGACTGCGTCAGCTGCTTGCGTCTGGGTGCTGATGGCGACCTTCTCTGTCTGCACATCGATCCAGCCCTAGGAAAAGAGGGAACCCAACCGTCACGGAGGAGTTCGGGGTTTCGAGCTGAGCGGGAGTCGTGAGAGTGCACATCCAGTGGCTTCCGCTTTCACTTCGAAGCATTTAGGCTCAACAGCAGTCTTAGTAACCTGTAGGGTCCCCTAAACTTAACCTTTAGGGGTTCCCTAAACTTAACCTTTAGGGTCCGCTAAACCAGGCTCTCGACTGTGGTTGCTTTGATATGAAACTAAGTACCTTTGGCTGGAACATCCCCCGGAGGGACTATGAAGACCGAGGGGCCTTTGCATTTACTGCCACATTCAATGTCCACAGACCCACAACGTCCACAGGCGGCCCACAACACTGCAAACGAGTCTGGGATTTACTGGCGAATGGAATCTAGGGTCTACGGTCTGTAAGAGCAGCCGTTGAGAATCCTGCATTGATCTTAAGGGAAGTTGCCTCTCGAATGAAAGGCTTATGGCTTTTGCTTCTGCAATTACAAGTTCCAGCCGACCTGCAAGACGCCCCATTACGTGAGGAAAAGCACGTACGAACGGACACCTGCTTATGAGGCGGCACAAAGGCTGAGTTTCAGGGTCGTTCTCCACTCACCTTGCTTCAGCCAGAAGGAAAACAACCCAAGCCAAACACAAACCTAAAAGTAGGCCAAGGATCCACCTTCTGCATCGCTTGTAGGTCCCTGGCACTCTCGATTAACATCGTCGGATACCTCAGGAAAGGGGAGGTTTCGGCTTGGAGCAAAAGACTTTTCTCCCTGGGGTTACTACTAATCACCACTGTGACTATTTCTCTGTATACATTTGTATAATAAATACATAAATACATAAATACATAAATACATAAATAAACAAATATATATATATATACATACACACATATTACTACTGCATATTGCGATTATTGGTATTGGAGATCTTGCTCGCTGTAGTGTCCTGGGAGATCTGCGATCTCAGGTTGGTGTGCTTGGCGTAGTTGTCCGATCTTTCAGCTAAAGATACAAAGTGCGCCCCCTGTTTTGCAAGCACCGCTGCCTTCAATCTCCGCTCAATGCTCAACAGCTCCATGCTGGCCTCTTTGTTGAACACCCGAGCCCTAAACCGTTAAACACGGCATGCTCAAGACTTGGCGTCCTGAGCCCCAACACGGTCTTCACTGCATCAGAAAGCCCGCCAGCCGTAAACCGCCCAAACCCCAACTTCATGAACCTCCTGGCTGGAGAGTTGCTCCAAACCCTAAATCCAAAGCCGAAATCCTAAATACAGCAGCGTTAACCAAAAACGCGACATCCGACACCAAAAAGCCGAAACTTAACATCTCCACATCCGAAACCCAAGCCCGAAAGCCCTGAAACTTCTGAGATCGAAATGCACGCTGGTACCGTGGAAGGTCTGCTTCGAAGTCAATCCGACCCTGCCGCCAGTCTGGTTCAAGTAGTGTTACACTACGGGAGTGTAGTAATAGCAAATACTATGATGGTTAGTACTGGTACCCTTCAATACCATTTTCATTATTATCCTAGAACTAGTCTTATTGCTCTTGTGGCTAGTATTGTTGTTACTACTTAGAGCGGTGCGATTACGCTCGGGCTTGGCATTTTCCGAGTTTTTCAGTTTCATGGGGCTGGGCATTTAGGGTTCGAAGCTTATGTTTGGGGGTGCAGGGCATAGGCTTTCGGTGTCTCGGATTTACTTCTTGGGGTTCAGGGGTTTCGCTTTGGGACTTTGGGCTTTGTTCTGAAGGGGTGTTGGCGGCTTGTAAAATTCGGATCTACAAGTCGATGCAAGATGCGGGTGAGTTTGATTTCTTGGACACACCTTTCTCAATGATTCCACAATGCTTGCAGTGGCACGATGATCTCCAACCTCTGCAAACATCCCGAAACATGAAACACAACACTTATGTGTTGAGCCTAGGTTCTGCAGAGCCATGCAAATGCTGCGCAGCACCCTGTGAAGACATTACAAGTTTCTTTTCGGGAAGAAGCTGCATGCGCCTGCCATCGGCACAGCGCATGGACGGCATGTTCGTCGGGCACTCTAAGTAGATTGCATACTCTTCGTCGTACCTTTGCGCAGCGATTTTCAGACGGGTGTGATATTTGGTGCTGGGTGCCTTACGCCTTGCATGAGAGCATGCGGATAGTGATGTTTCAACTCCTTGGCAGTAAGGAAGGCTTTTGGGAAGCAAGCCCTGCGTACCTTTGCTCGTGCTTTGTGTAGGGGCCCAGGGTTATACAACTTGGGCGGGTTCAGGGTTTCGGATGTAAGGCTTTCAAGTTTGGAGTGCTGGATTGGGGGGGGTCTTGGGTTCGGGTTTGGGCTTCATGCTTCTCGGCTAGGGTCCATGGTTTCTAGCTGCAGGGTTTGGCGCCGAACTGAGTTTGAACCGGCATCCAAAACCCTGACAAGACATGATTATTTTGCCGTAGATAGGTTCCTGCAGCCCCCAACCGTAGGCCGTAAAACCTCGAAGTAAGGGGCCCTCGCAAGGGTACTCCAAGACAACGCGATGCGTCGAGCGGATGGTGCAAGAGTCGGAGAGGCAAAGGAGTCCCCTCGATACCACGGCTTGGGCCCCCAACGCCAGAACCCCTCCAAGACCTTTCACAGTGGGCTGCGGGGTGTGGGGAGTTCAATTCGGAGGTCGACCGTGTCGACTACGACTTCGAGTGGGCCGCAAGTGCAGCACCCTCAAGTCATACATGCCAGGATGCCAGGAATGAGCCCCCAAGCCCTAAACTCCAAAATGCGAGAACCCTAAGCCCCAAAACGCTACATAGCCGCTATGTCATGCCCAAAGTAAGTGAGTAGGCCGAGCTCTAAGGCGTTCCCAAGAGGCTTAGACTGCTACAGTCCATGTAGGATTTGAGGTATGAGGCTCCTTCACACGGCGGATCCCTTGAAGCCCAGTCTGCATAAGGTCCACACAACTTTGCTAGAATCCTTGGCAAGGCCGTAGAAGGTGCACACATCAGGCACATCTACCACATCCGAAAGCCGAGGTGCTGCTTCAACCGGTCAACGCAGGTGAAGAGTGTGCCGTTCTTCTTCCCATCTAGCGCCGGCAGGAGGGAGAGGACCGGGTTGTAGTTTTGCCTCGGCAGCTTAGGGATATTACGGTACAAGTATAAGACGGAAGCTTGAGGAATAGTAGTACCAGTACCAGTAGTAGTGGTAGTAGCAGGAGTAGGAGGAGGAGGAGTAGGAGTAGTAGTTGTTGTCGTGGTTCAAGCCCCTACATCACCGCCACTCAGGACAAGCAGTTTTTGCAATACAGTACTCCTGCGGGATCATGTGGAAGTTGCTCCTAATCCGGATCCAACTTGCATCGTCCTCCCTGTTGCAACTTCTGGTTTAAGCCTGCGCACTCGATCTATACAAGCGCGAAGCCAGAACAAACAAAGCCATCTAAAGAGTGCCTTTAACTCTTTTTCGCCCGAAAAAACCTACCAAAATAACCCTAAGCCACTATTTCACTATGACATGTGGGAGTGTCCAAATCTGAAAGGGACGCCTAATTCTCGGAAACAACCCTGGCTGGTCAGTCTTCCAAAGCCATGGCAAACTCCAAACAAGCAGTGCCCCGAAACCATACTGTAAACGAAGCCCTTCTTCACACCAAGCGGGCTGGGGACCGAACCAAGTAGAAGTCCCTATGCATTTATAGTACCACAGAACCCACAACCTATAGTCGATTTGCTAAGGCCCTACATTACGACCAAACCCTATATTACGATTGGACCCTAAACCCTAAAACCCCTATATTGCGATTGCAGCAAGTCGCGTCTGAAACCGGGATGCGAATCCCCGACAGTCGGTGGTGGCCAGGCGGGACCTCCGCTGCGAAGCAGTAGGTTCGGTTTAGAGTGGTTGAACAAGGCCTCTATAAGGGATCTCTAAGGCGTTGGATACAAGATTTTATAAAGGGGCCCAGGAGCTGTGGTTTGTAGGACTTCTCGGAAGTTGGGTTTGGGTGTGGGCTTAGGATTTCGGTTACAGGCGCGTGGAGTAAGGGGTCTGAGGTTGAAGTAATTCTTGTGATCAGCCTTAAGCGAAGATAGATGCATACAAATGAGCTCCCTATCATGTATACATGTACTTGTGAAACTACAAAGCTGAGGCTCGCGACCTTGTTCCTAGGTAAGGGCATAGGGTGCTGGAACTACCACATGGGGCTATATGAAGCCACCCTAAGATTACACGAATCCAGATGGCTGACTTGAAAGTCGTTCGGTCTTTGGCCCAAGGTTCACTTAAAATTTCTCCCAACCGTAACCCCCCCAATGCTAAACACGCAAGGCTCTAAGGCAATTGATTTCCACAGCCGTAGTAGCCCTCAGCCCTGAAAGGCCCGAGTCCGTAGAACCCCACACCCCGAACCTACATGCTGTATTCATCCTGAAGATTTAATTGAGTCATGGTGCATGATGTACTAGACACGGTCTTCAGAAGCCGTTTGAAGTAGCACTCCAGGCTCCCTTTTTAGAGGAATTAAAAGCCCTCAACCATCTTACCTTCGGAACCTCACACGCCGCATAGCTCGGCTACCTACGGTTCTAGTTGTGAGTCCCCGTGGTCCGAACAAGCTTTACCACCTGATTTGCTATTTCTTAGAACCCAAAAGTAAAGACAAACGAGCTACCTACTCAGCTATTGTGTGCTTAGCGTCCAAGGTAGACTAAAGCTTGGGAGGTCATTATAAATCAAGGAGTTGTTGGAGCCTACAGGTATATGGGAGGTTCTCTAAGCTAGGGTCCCTTTTCGGGTCCATTTTAAAAGGGTGCCGTACTATATTGGGGACCTACAAAGGGACCCTACTTTAGAGAACTATCCATATCAAAAGTCATGGTTCGATCCTCGAAGGCAACCAGAGCACTGGTAGACGATGGAGGGCAACATGGTCAGCTGCGGCTTGTCAAAGCGTTTCCTCGTCGTCTCTGTAGGGTCTACGTAGGGCTGAGGGTTTAGAGTCTATCGGATATCGGGTTCCTCGTCTCTGAGGCTCCGGGCGTGGGGTTTCGCATCTAGGGTATGGGGCTGAGGGTAGAAGATCATTAGCTTCCAGCCCCGCTGTCTGGAGCTGTCGAGGTGTATACAGCCGGGTTCAAATGCTTTTCCTCGCAACACTCGCTGATGATTCTTTGGTACATACAAGCGTACGGCGGTGCAGTGATGAGGCAGCGATTTCACTTGGGTCTCAGATCACTGTGATTCGACCTATGACAGCCAAACTCAGAGGATCCGGTGGGGGGCAAAGCTCCGCACGACCTTCTTCCAGTCTGCTCTGGCTCTTCCACTTGTCTGGCCATTGACAGGACCTAGGAACCTGCACCAGTGTATTATAATACTGGAAGCATCTCGGTGTATATTTTTCTTGGAATAGAGTACGGGGCTTCTACACCGTGCCTTGAACCGAGAGAGGTTGCCTGAAAGCTTATCTGCAGCTGGAATATAACACTTCCAGTCAGTACTTACGTGGCTTCGCCACATGATCAGACTGACACTAACAATCAATTACTGCGACCACCACCACCACCACCACCACCACCATGATGAAGAACCTTCGGGCTGCAGGTCTGACAGCTTACGGCCTGAAAGCCTCAAGCAGCAAAGCGTCAACTGCTCGTAGGTAAACGGCGAGCAGTAGCCGCAGGTCTGCAGCGCAAGCTCTAAGATGACTCTACTTGCTACATCTCAAGCCCAAGGCGTCTCATGTTATGTGGAACCAGCAACTCCCGTCATGACTGCAGATCAAGTATCAAGTCGCAGCCTAGACCTCCAGAGCCGGATACCAGCCAGGGATCCCCCAGTCCCAAAGAATTCCAAGTCTGTACGCCCCAAAACCAGCAACCCTTTTTTGCAATGGATTTTTGAAACCCATGTTCAGAACAACCCCCAACCCTTCTTGCTTACCACCAGTCTGAATTCCAGAATTGGCTCGGCTTGGGTGTGAGGTGCCTTGGGCTTCAGATCAGGGTCGCTTCGATAAGCTTAAGCCCAGCCTCAGGTGGTGGCAACCTTTACCCAGCAACCAAAACCTCTGAACCCCGCTAAAACTCCCGATAACCATACTAAAATATACCACACTATACCACAACATCCTAGAATATACGATAATACCACATGATATACTTTAGCCTACCATAATAGATGATAAAAAAAATATGCTATATACCCTGAACCCCAAGCCCGGTATCCTTCTGGAAAGCCCAATTTCCAAAGATCACGACTCCCATCCCCAGCTCATCTTTCTAAACTCATTCGCAAGATTTTGGGGGTACCCCAAACCCTGGACCCTAAAGCCCCGTAAACCCTCAACCTGAAACCCTACTCCTTGCACTCTGTCCTTGGCGCAGAAGACAATTCCGAGATCAGTGCGGCAGGCATGCAGGGCGTCACTGTGACAGGTGATGTTGGGGTTGTTCTCCTCCGTCCTCAAGGATTTCGGGGATCAGATGAGAACTTCTTCAAGTTTGGAGGTTGGAAGAGACTTTGCTGAGTTTACAATGGTATTTACTTACAGATAGTGGATAGCCCTTCTCCGATGACGACGCGACTTCTGTCACCATGACGACGACGATGACAAGGACTACCACTAACAAGCTGTAGGCGCCCCAAACGAATCTCTAGATTCCTTACCATCCTTAACGCAACTCTACCATTCGGAACCCACCCTGCTTCCTGCTGTTTTGTCTTGCTAAGCGAATATTTTGGGATGGGTGGGTCTGAGGCTGACTCCCAAAACCTTCAGCCATAGAGTTCAAAACCAAAAGTCACAACACCCATTAACCTTGGTCTATAAGTATCAGTCCCTTAGATCCAGCGAAAAAGAACTATTACGCTAAACCCCTTGGGTTTGCACTCTATATCTGGAAAGAGTGTGTGTGTTTTCTTTGCTGCTGCTGCTGCTGCTGCTTCTTTGTTGTTCCTCCGGTGTGTGTGTGTGTGTGCGTGCGTTTATGTTTTGCTGCTGCTGCCGGGGGGGCTGTTTGTTTGCGGTTTCTGGCGGGGTGGTGGGGAGCGCGGATGTTGATGTTCTCGCTGTTCGTGGCGGTTGGGTGTTTGTTTTTTTCTGCTGCTGCGGGTATGTGTGTGTGTGTGTGGGTGGGTGGGTGGGTGGGTGGGTGGGTGGGTGGGTGGGTGGGTGTGGGTTTTTGTTTGCTGTTGCTGCGCGGAGGCTCTCGCTCAGTCACTTGCTTGCTTGCCGGGGTTTCACAAAACAAAAAAATACCCTCTCCTTCTAAGAATTACAAGAAGCAACCCAACTGAGTTCTAAGGACCCAAATAAGTCCTTAAGCCTAAGCTAGCCTTGAGGCAGAGCTCGGTTCAAACCAGCAAGAGCTCTCCAGAGCCGCGAAAGAAGGTACTGGAAGGGCTGCTATAAGGGTTTGTGTAGGGGATACCTAAGAAGGGATACTATAAGAGATACCATACGGGTTACTATCGGGGGCTGATACGCGCGGTCCTATAAGGATTGCTTTTCGCATCGGATTAGAAGGCGTGGGATGAGCAGGCTTAACGTCTCACAAGTGCAAGCCCACAACTGCAGAACCCACAATCGTAGAGCCTATGCCACAGCCAGCCAAGTCTGAGATAACACTCTCCCACTTCGCCTGAACAGAACAACGTCAAGCTGATACCCCTCCAATGCTTTTAAAACTTTGGGCCAAGACCAAGAAGACTAAACGCATAATCCGCTGCTGCTATGGGTCTGATAGGCCGTGTCGTTGTCTTCGCACGGAGGGTTTGGATGCGTAGCAGTGGGCTCTGTGGCAGACGTCTCCTGCGGCACCATGGATGAGGATGGCTCTTCCAGGCTTGGCGTCAGGGCTAGGGTTCAACCCACTAAGCCAAATGCTCCAGGCCTCGGAAGAAGCCGTTGCGAGGCGACGTTGGGCATCCGCCTCGACGTCGCTGGCGTTCGACCATTCGGGAGAGTCTTGCAAGCTCCTCCGTCGCAGCATGGGGTGCGTAGGGCTGGAGAAAGAGGCTTCAAGACTTTCTGCGATTTCGGGTCTTGACCGGTTGAGGGCTGGACCTTTACGCATTCGTGTGCGCGTGTGTGTGCGCGCGTGTGTGTGTGTGTGTGTGAGTGTCTGTGAGTGTGTGTGAGTGTGTGTGAGTGAGAGTGAGAGTGAGTGTGAGTGTGAGTGTGAGTGTGTGTGTGTGTGAGTGTCTGTGAGTGTGTGTGAGTGTGTGTGAGTGAGAGTGAGAGTGAGAGTGAGAGTGAGAGTGAGTGTGAGTGTGAGTGTGAGTGTGAGTGTGAGTGTGAGTGTGAGTGTGAGTGTGTGTGCGCGTGCTTGACCATTAGTTGTTGGAAATTTCTGCATTCGTGGGAATTGTGTTCGTAGCAACTCTTGCACTTGGCCATTATGACTACTCCTGACAAACAAATGCTTCGATGCGGGATAACGCTTATCTCTGAACCCCTACTTTTTCTGTAACTATGCATATTACAGGCAAGGTTAGGCTGCTGTTACTACTGGTGTTAGACACGGTGGCGGTGGGCAGAGGCCGGTGTTGGCGGCGGTGGTGATGCTGGCGCTGATACTGGCGCTTGTTCTGTGTGTTGGTGCAGTAGCAGTAGGAGTAGGAGCAGCAGGAGCAGCAGCAGCAGCAGGTGGTGCAGGTGCAGGTGCAGGTCCGGGAGCAGCAGCAGCAGCAGCAGCAGCAGCAGCAGCAGCGGAGCAGGAGCAGTGGCAGTGGAAGTGGCAGTGGCAGTGGTGATAGTTTCAGGGGAAGTCGTCGTCGCCGCGCGTCGTAGTCGCAGGCATAAGCGTAGCTTAGGTTTAAGGTTTAGGCGCCGCCGTCGTCGTGTCGCCGTATCAGCCTATGCCAGCAGAGGCCACAAACAGTGAAAGAACGCCTGTCCAAATCCTGAACCCGTAATACACCTGACCGAGCGTCAGCGCGGTAAATCGCGGGCTCTGGCAGGTGGCAGCGGGAACTAAGTAGTGGTCGTCCCAGGCGTACCTGAACGCAAGTTCCGCAACCGCACATCAACTTCACAATCTTTCATCCGCGGTGGAACAGCTCCGATAAACCCTGAACCTACCGAACCCTGCACAGTAGATACCAGATCTGAACCCCTGTGCACCTTACCCGAAAGAGCAAACTCTCAACCCATACACTAGGCTCGTGTCCCAGCACGATCACTACCGCAGCTCTGGCCGCTTGTGCACTCTCCGTTGTTGGGCATCCTCCTCCCCCCTAAACCCTCAGCGCTACCAGCCCCGAACAACGAACATCGTTTGGGAGGCCAAGCGCATGAGTGCACTCGATCTGCGTATTCTCAGAGCATCCTTCTCCTTTCAGCTAAACCCGTCGTTATACAACAAACACGAAAATCATAATAGTTAGTTGCTAGAATCATGCTGCGGCTTGGCCAGCTGTACGTGGAGAGCTCATTAGTGCACATTAGTGCGGCTTATCAGTGGGAGGGAGGGTTTAATCAGCCCTAAAGCCGGGATTAAGATATTCGATATTCGGGGTTTACAGAATGGTATGATGAGGTTTTTGGGTGCTGAATTTTGGGATTTTGGGCTTGGCGCCAGCCACCAAAGGAAGCCGTACACAAGGAACACCCGATGCAGGGCTCACGAGTAGTAGCGGCTCTCGCACCAGAAGCTTGAGGACGTTGGCCTCAATTCCTGCTCTTGTGTCTCGGGTTTGGCGTGTCGGGTTGTTACTGAGGGCTGTTTTTGGTTTTAGGCTTTGTGTTCTTCGCGTTTTGGAGCTTGGGCTTAGGCCCCGTCGCTGGTTTGGGCAGGCTTCTGCCAGATGCTGATATCGATGCTGCTCGCATCAGTAACCCCAATCTAGAATGAGATGCAGGCCGAAGCCCAAACCCTCTACTCGACCCTAAAGCCCAAACCCAAGCTTGGTATCCTGTAGAAGTGCTCTGGGGGTGAGCCTACTCCTGAACTACCACAGAGAGCCCAGTGAAGGGAAGGTTTCACTCACTCAGCCTAGTCCTGGACCACCTGAAACCCTAAACCGCAACTTCGAAACCCCACATCCTACGCTGCAAACGCTAAGCCCTATATGCCTCGTTGAAGGATCAAGGCGTAGGGCCTGAAGTTGGAGCAAAAGAGTTTGCGGCTGAGGCTCTAAATCCTAAATCCCCAAAATAGTAGTGGTAATTATTTCCATAAACCCTAAACCCTAAATCCCCAAAATAGTAGTGGTAATTATTACCCTAAACCCTAAA